TATTCATCGAATGATTAATTTTTTAATAAGTGATAATTTCATAAATATAATTTAAAATTTATTTTAATTTTTTACAAACTTGTCGAAGTGTCTACTTTCTTAGAAATACGTATTTCATAAGCGAAATATTCTATTTGAAGAAATACCATAGCGGTTTGTATTTTCTTACGTTCTTCATCTGAATGCTGCAAATTTGATGGCCCCTAATTGATACCTAAAGAAAACCCGAAAACTCCATGCATCTTGCCTGCTAGTGAGGCACGAATCCACGACCAACTACCAGTGTTTAGTGGTTTTATCCTCTAGGCCACTATTTATCTGTTTAGGCACGTGAAGAAAATCCGAAAAACTCCATGTAGCCAGTCCATTGGCGAGGCGACAACCCACGACCAAATACAGTGTTCAGTGGTTTCCACTCGGCCTATTCATCTCGGAAATGGTTGATTTGCGGACCCATTTTGCTATGAATTTTTAATTTATTGTGACTTTTTAAACACCTTGCATTTATAGTTTTTATTGACATTTCAACATTTCTACATGAATTGATGAAATAATTATTTATCGACATTTATTAAATAACATTAATAATTAAATATTTAAACTTCATTTAAATAAAAACTATTATTCCAGTTTATAGTTTTTCATATTCTACGAAATTAAGTAAAGTTATCGATTGATAAATTAAAAGGTTATGTCAAATTACATGGTAATACGCTTCAATAACTAAATTAATCCGAGTAACAACCAAATAATTAAAATTAACACAATTGTATAAACTAACACCTAAATAAGGACCTGTTTTCCCATAAAAGAATTTCACCCTTGCAGATCGCCTATGTGTCGCGTAGACGTTTACAAATAAACCAAACTAAACCAAGATGAATAACATTTTAAGATGCATTTGCTTGAAGAATGGTAAAATCCTTTAATGCAAATGCATCTTACTATACGTTTTTCCGTGTATAAGAGCATTCAAAATCAGAACTACATTTCATAAAGTATCTAAAACTCACTATTTTTTAAAAACTTTTATAGTATAGGAAGTATTATTTAAACTATTATTATTATTTAAAGTATTATTTACTGATAAACTATATTTACATTTCATTACCTTCACACGGCGGCGCAGCGTTATAAGGCAAATTCAAGAGGTCACAGGTAAGCATGTTCTTATATGCAAGGGTATGGTATTATAAGCGAAGCATGACGTATGTTTCAAGAATGCGAAAACAAGCGATTTTCACATACCAAAACATGTTCGTATTTGCACAGAAACATACATTGGATCTAGAAAATTTAGTAAATTTAATTAAATCATAATTCTTCAGGAAAATATTCCTCAAACAGAACGAATTATTCAATTAAAAACTAAAATTTTGTTACATTAATACAACAATTCTGATTCTGAATGAGGTAAATTTGAACTTTACGCAATTGAAGATAAATTGTATACAGAAATTGAAATGAAAATATTCTTATTACAATAAGAAGGATTAAGCTTCCAGTATGGTAATCTTTATATTATTTGTTTTCAAGAAATTACTGTAGATCGATGAGGAGGTGAGAAATGTCGTAAGGTAGTCAAAGAAAGACATCATTACCTTATCGAAAATTGCAGGGAAAATTTTGATTATTTACTCGAGTATGGAGGAAAGATAATACCGTTTATTTTCCTGGATTCAAAGCTTGTATCCTGTAATAGAGACAATGATAGGTATTTATAAAAACTGAACTACAAGACTGCAAAAGAGGTAAAGATGTTTAACGATTTGTCAAATGTAAGAAAGTTAAAGCAGAATATGGAAATGTACATCGAAAGTTCTGTTTAGTACAGAAAAACCTATTCCATATTACTTGTGGATTTTCGGTTCATTGATTAAAGTGTCACATAAAAGTACAGTATAGTTAAGTTATGCTCAATAACCTAGATGTTTGAAGCGGAAGAATTTCGCTAAGAAATACTTAGTAGTAATATGCAATAAATGTAGAGAGATGGTCCACACTTCCAACCAGAGAAAACAAAAACTACAGGAAAATATTCCTGTATTGGAACAAAACTGAAAAGAGAAAACGAGAAACATCAGAAATAGATCAACAATCTTGTCAAAAAAAAAGTACATGGAAAGAAATCCAAATAGCCAGAGAAGAAGACAGATGTTGGAAATAGGAAGACGTAAATGAGGTCAATAGGCAAAAATTCGGCAGATATACTCGAACTACATTTTGTGAATAGTTGTCGAAAGTACAGACGTATCTACAATGATGAGCGAAAGAGAGCTTCGATAGAAAATTTAAATGAGATAGATTAACAACCGAAAAGGATGTAAGATTATCAATTTTTCACTCCTGACAGAGATGAGCATTAGATGAAATGGAAAGAGCAGTGTTATCAACAGCCAACAACACACCAAAAAAAAAAAAAAAAAAAATTAAAAGAAACGCAATGGACAGTCCTCCCAAAACATAACAAAAATAAATCTTCATCATATTAGAATTACCTATATCTATTTGGTTTATAATATATTTACATTGAAAGTTGAGTTTTAAATTATCGTAATAAAAAATGTGCAATAAATTTTGAATGTGCCAATTGAGATGGATGGAACTTCGCATGTGATTTCGTTTACAAGTGGAGCTGCACTCAGTCAAATTCTATATGGGACACACGTAATCACTTTAGCATGGGAACTTCTGAATTGTCATTCTTAAAAAAAGAAAAGAGACGAAATTAGACTATTAAGTTTATAGATAATAAAAGTGTCTTAAAAGTCTAGAACATTATTAGATACATAGAAATACATCTATGGATCTAATAATGTTAAATATTTAAATCGTTTAATCGAATATAAAATGATTTAAATATTTTAAATTCCTTGTATAAATTACATTTTAAAATAATAAATTAATCATTGATTTATCTGAAATTTTATAATTCATTAAGTAAAAATGGAGTTGATAAATAAATTTTTTTATCGTTATTTTTCATCCAGTTTTCGTTCAAATTAAATTATGTGAATAATTATGAAGTTATGATAGGAAATGTGCTTTTAACATAATTTTATAAACGTTCATATCATTAATTATGTTTAGTTAATAATTTTGATATTAATTAACAAAATTTAACAAATATATCATACAGTAATTAAATGTATTGTTTTTTAGTTGAACTACAGCAGCATTAACACGAAATAGTTTGTATAGACGTTATATAGATAAAAATAGATATGAATATAGTGTACAGTAATACCCCGACTTACGCTACCCCGACTTACGCGATTTTCAAATCTCGTCGATTCGTCTTTTGTTTGAGCGCCACGCAACCCTTGATTACTCACTCCCCCCACACTATTGTTCAGCTTACATGTTCGGATGTGTCGCGCAGAATCCACACATAGCTACAATTTATTTTGTGTTATTTATTTCTGTGTTTGTTATATCTACGGAGACTTGAGAGACTCTACTATGTCATCCAAAGGAAGTAGAACTAATTCTTCTGCATCAAACAAGAAAAGAAAAACTTTATCTTTGGAATGTAAAGTTAACATTGGGTATGTTCGTAAAGTCGAACGAGTTAAACGAGAATGACGTCATCGTTATTCCTATTTCGTTAGACTTTTCGAACGATTCGTTACTAACGCGTTTAACTCGTTTGACTTTACGAACGTACCCATTATTAAAGACTTCGATACAAAAATGAAAATTTGTGAATTGGCAAAGAAGTTTGATCTACCGGAATTGTCGGTCAGAACAATTATAAAAGGCAAAGAAAAAATTCTCGAAGCTGTGAAAAATGCTCAATCTTTAAATTCAAGCATCATTCGTAAACGTCACAGTATTATCGCTGAGATGGAAACAATGTTAAAATTATGGCGTAATAATCAAGTAAATGTGAAAAATTGTAAAATAATATAGGCCTACTTTGTTATACATATGTATTATCTAACATTTTATTAAACATTTTTTTCTAAATTATTGTTTTCTTTAGTCTCCGGCCCCAATTAAAAATTATTTGTATGTATTTATATGCGAAATTATACCCCGACTTACGCGAATTCGACTTACGCGGTTACCGCTTGGTCCCACCTATCGCGTAAGTTCGGGGTATTACTGTATTATATTATATTTATTGGGCTGCAATTTGAAAAAAATAAATTCCACCGTTTGTCTGTTCTTCTTTAATATCGAGAACAAAGTTAGATACATGAAAGTCAAGACAAGATTTAAAAATCTTAGGGGCAAGAGGTCCCGATTAATTATATATAAACTTTTGGTATGAAGAGAAAGCCACGTTATTTCAATTCAAACTTTTCCCCTTAATGGAGTTATATATAAATGACCAGCACGATTACGTTGTTATCAGGAAAAGTATGATGTACAGGGGGACAAGCCACTGCTAATTTGAGGTAGATAACATATATTTTTATTACATTTAAATATATAATAAAAATAAAAAAATAATAATAGATATATCTTTAAAGTTTAATAAAGTAAAACATATAATTTGAATTTTATATACAGTATTGTAATTTTATATTGATATAAAATTGGGTCGGCGAGTTAAATCTAACTTTGGAATAGGTCTGAAATTCCTAAATTAGAGTAATTTCAACTAAGACAAAAGTTTATTTAAGCTAGTTATAAATTAATAGAGAAAAATATCTTCTTAATTTTAAAATGTTATAGAATTGTAGGTAGTAATTATAATTAAATATAGAATAAAACTATAGAATTATATGTAGTGATTCTTACTAATTATTTTTTAAATGAGTTTTTTTTTTTAAATATCAATATTATTTTTATCAGAAGTAACTTTTAGCTTTACATCCTAACAATTACAGTAGATAAAACCTCTATCTGTACACCGGAATTAATCCTGTGTTCAGATAGAAGTTTTATCTACGACCAGAAGAATTAATCCGGAATAGAACGATAACAATATCTGAATTAACAGACATAGTTAAATTTAAAAAAATTATCTTAGAATTTTTTAATGTAAAAATTTGTTTTTAAAAGCGACATTTAGAATTGCTCTCCAGTCACTTCTACAAGCGATTTTAGAATCAACATGAAGACATTCCTGATCATCGCATTACTTATCATCGTCGCATCAACTGTCAATTCAGCTATTACCACAAGTAAGTGAATAATTTATATTTACATACATTTAATTATATAAATCACAGATATTAAATTTTATTAAATAAACTATGCAATTCATACATAGTTATAGTATGTAATAGTGCAAGAAGCTTATATTTGCATAAACTAGTTAATCCTAAATAAGATGATAATAAAATAAATGTTTTTGAGTAAATTTGAATAATAATAATATTATTAAAAGAAATGTTATTACAGCACAATGCGGAGAAAACGAAGAGTTTGATTCATGTGGTACTGCTTGTCCTCTTGACTGTACTAATTACATGAACGAACCAGAACCCTGCACTAGACAATGTGTCATAGGATGCGCTTGTAAACCTGGATTTGTCAGATCTGCTACTAAAAAATGTATTCGCCCTTCCGAATGCTAAAAATTACTTTTTTTATTTCATTACTTGTAAAGATTCAAATGAAATGTAGTCTTATGATATAAGAATATTATTATTCAATATGTAATCTAAATTGTTATCTTGATAAATAAATCGTTAATTCTGAACATTTTTTCCTGTCTCAACTGCAATTATTCAATTTTTAAACTTATTCTTACTCAATAATCTCGAATGATTTCTCTATGATAATAGATTCTATACATTCTATTGGAAAATATAAGTTTAATAAAATTAAATAAAATAATTTTCTGTTAAAAATATTAATTTAAATAACCGAATTTCAAATTTGTTATTTATACAAATTTTTAATTTAAATAAAATTCAATTTTTAAAGTAGAAACAGTAAAAATTCAAAGATTGTTTCTCTATATTTAACAGCATTGTACTTATTCTTTTATTTAGAACAATTCAGTTATTAAATATGATAAAATAAAATATTTAAATAAAAGTAATAAATTCAAAAATGGTCATTTAAATTATAATTTTTACATTTTTATAATAATTATTTAAATGTAAAGAGAATATACGACTTACTTTTTTTTTGAATATGAACTAATTTTATTAAAACGAAAATTATTGGCTGATAAAAACAAATTATACATGAGATATCAGAAGGGAAGGTAATACTTTGGGAAATGATTATGCACAGCAAGATGAATAAAATGTGCATAAAGCACAAACGGAAAATGCACAAATGTCAGTACATGTACAGTACACTCGTTGAGTATGATTTAACTACACACAAATATTTCGTGAACCTCTTCTGATATCATCACTCTTGGATCGTGGAGAACCTACCATGGATCATCGAGTGCAATGGAGTGTAAGTGCAACCATAGCTGCTATATTTACATTCGACATGTCAAATTGTGAAATATTCATACCTCTGTATCATTGTTAATAATAAATCACCACATGCTCATGGTCTTATTCATCTACCATCCCATACATTTACCTTTTCTCCTGATATACCCTGTGTACAAACAATACAAAAATATGATTATTAATGTGATTATCTTAAATAAATATAGGCTAATAACTTTCTCATCGAAGCTTATTTAAAATTTTATTTATTCGAATACACACATTTCTAAATAGAAAATAACGTTTTAATAGTGTTATTTTTAATTAAAATTATATTATTAATCTGTAATTCATCAATTAATTACGAAAACGTGTTAAATTATGAGTTATTTGCAGTAATAAAACATTAATTAATTATAAAATAATATATACAATGCGCCATTATATTTGTCAAGCAACTTCATAACGTTTAATTTAAATGGGTAAATAATCTATATTCGTCTGTATCTGAGCATTTATAAATATTTATATGTAATTATCCTCTAATAATTAATATGTATAGGGGAGACCGGGGCAACATCGGCATGTTAAGCTTTACTTAAATTTTGTGTAATAAATACTGCTGTAAACTGAAAAAAAAGCTCTGCATATTGTCTATTGGAATGTTACCTTACTATAGAACTGGTTAAAATCAGTTTGGAAATAAAAATAATTAAAATAATTACAACTTTACAAGAAGAGAGAAATTGACGAAGTTGCCCCGGGTATAGGGGCAAGATCGGCAACTTCTCTCTTTTTGTAAAGTTGTAATTATTTTAATTATTTTTATTAAAGTTGCCCCTGGTATAGGGGCAACAGTAATGGGGCAAGATAGGCACGTATATAAAATTATGTTATTAACAATGTATAAGTTGGAATTCACTATTAAAACAAAGAAATACAAATCCAACACCCATTTAATATTATTACAACGAAATGCAAGTTCAAAGACATATATACATGAATAACAAATGCAAACATGTTTTCATTTATCATCTGTTTGATTTTTATCCTTTGCTTCTAATGTGGCTTTATGTTGCCGATCTTACCCCGCTAGTCATGATTTCGAAACATTAAGTACAACCCTGAGAACAGAATGCCAAGCCACGATCTGGCCACGTGAATAAGTTGAAGTTACATCCTTCTAACAGGAAAAGTAACTTTCGTTATCATGGAATTATAACAAAACCTGCCAATTCAATATAAATGGAAAAAAAATATTATATGGAATTGAACGAAAATGAAAATTTGCTTGATAATTCAACTACGCTTGTTGGAGAACAATAAAAACACTACACTCAACAAGCCACCAATAAAACTCAACTGCCTAACCTATAACCAAAGTCTCCTTTTAATTTGTTTTTTAAAAAAAGCGCTTGACAAACTTGCCCCGCATGCCGAAGTTGCCCCGGTCTCCCCTATATTTATAATTGGAAAATGTTTTGTTACGGGTAATATTTATATAATCACAATTTAACTATTTAATAGTTAAATCGTAATTATATGAATATATTTTTACAGGAGGAATCTAGCTATAATTATAAATTAATGGCGCATTTTCAAACGGAAAACTTGGACAATGCTCCATTAAATGCTGCATTAATTAGTATCCTGCTTATTAAACCGTCATCGAAAACATTGGAAAGAACAAATTCAATAGGCTTTCAGTTACTGAGACAAAATTTGCCAACATTAATGCCATAAAACTCGAGGAAGGTGTCTTAATTGAATTGGAAAGAAATTCTAAATGGTAAAGAAATGGGAGCTTGGAAGAGTTTCAAATGACATTAGGAGATACCAAGTCTCTTAACTACAGAGGAGGGTGTCGAAGGGTTGCAGATTACTGGAATTCCTGATGTCGCTCAAACTACACTATTGCACGCCCATTTAGATGTTTTCTTTCAATCCCAAGGAAGTCAATAATGAGCAAGAGAAGAAATTCCCCCTAGATATAAACTTGTAGACCTATAAATTCCCACTGCCTGCCTTTCCTTAATCTCGAGAACTGTAATAAATAAATGAAATTCTAGAACAGATAGAACTTAGGGGCAGGAGGCCCCGACTAAATGTATATAAACTTCCAACACAAAATTCACGTTATTTCATTACTTTTAGTTTCACTTTTCATTATGTATTGGTTTAATTTTAACAATGTAAGATTATGCACCTGTGTTAACATTTATGTATACTTTCACCACGTTTTTATAATAATCATAACTTGTTACCCTGGTCAGTCCCAGATAACGTGTAGATCTAGAGAAATGCCGGGTCTGGTGATTGAACTTTTGGTCATACCACATCAATCAAGCAATCTTCAGTGCAATCTCTATGATCAGTGTCTGGTACTGGCAGTCAACAGTGCTTCGGGTTCTAAATCTCAGACATTTTCTGGGACTAACCGTTAACATCTAGTTTTTGGGATAACTAGCTGCTTGGGAAGGTTGAACGTTGGGAGAGTATTCTCCTCTGGTCCACCTGAAACGCTGAACGTTGGGAGAGTATTCTCCTCTGGTTCACTTGGAAGCCCGCTGAACGTTGGGAGAGTATTCTCCTAAACATCTCAGGGACGGTTAGTGCGGAGACTGGACTGACCGTGCAGTTGAGCCAACTCCACAAGCTGACTGAGGCCTCTCCAATGTTCAACAGTTCCCGAAAACCAATCGAGTATGCGAGTCACCACACTTTGTTATCCTGTATATATATTATGTTTTCGAACTTGTACCTTCTGCATATAGAATATGTAAATAAACTGTNATGTTGAAATATAAATCAGTGAAAGAAGCTATGAATGCAACTTTTATGAAAAGAGAAAATTCTGTTGATGCTCAAAGATTCATGACTTTCATTACATGATATAGGAAAAGGGTACTTCCAAATATTGTTGTTGAATGCGTTTTCTTCAATTATTTGTGGGAATAAGTCGTAAAACATCGTAAAAAATTCCTTAAAGGTTTGCCTTTAATATTTTGCTCCCCGAGACGTCAAAAATAAACTGTAAAGTATTGACCTTTCAGCAGAGAGGGAGCAAAAGAAGCGCGGCTTTGTCAATTGGACCCACTTGTGGTCAGACGATAGACCATTTGCCATATGGTAAACAACTGAATGTAAACAAGTGGTGGACGTTTATGTAAGCTCCACTCTCGTCGGATGACGGCGGACCCGTGTGTAAGCTGTTCGGGCAAGAAGGAATTGTGATTGGTCGGAAGTCCCCGTCCAGAAAACCCTTAAATTGCGGGGCGAACGGGAGAGGGAGGAGAGAAGGGCAAGAGACTGGTACACGGTAGTCTCAGGCACTTGGAAGCCCGCTGAACGTTGGGAGAGTATTCTCCTCTGGTAAACATCTCAGGGACGGTTAGTGCGGAGACTGGACTGACTGTGCAGTTGAGCCAACTCCACAAGCTGACTGAGGCCTCTCCAATGTTCAACAGTTCCCGAAAACCAATCGAGTATGCGAGTCACCACACTTTGTTATCCTGTATATATATTATGTTTTCGAACTTGTACCTTCTGCATATAGAATATGTAAATAAACTGTAAATATTATCAATTTGAGTGTGGAGGTGTGCTTTCCATTGAACCTGGATCACTACATCGAATCGTGATACACACGGAAACCAACTCAACGAGACGGAGTTTGGGAAAGAACTTCACTAATATCTTCACTTAAACCTTGATAACTTTATTTATTTTTGTAAAACAAAGCGATTCTATCTTTTCGAGAAAATGATTCTAAATTAGTACCCCTGTAAAAGTTCCTAAATTGAACCCTATAGTTTTTATTAGTTTTACTCCTTAAACATTTATTTTCTACAATCTTTTAAGAGTTGTTTTTGGTACACCAGACAGTTTGCATGCTTTTTACCTTCCCATTTTCTTCGAATATATTCATTCAATAGCTTCTTTCGGGTGATCTAATTATTTTCTTTTCATGATTTTTCTTTGTGCGTTCATTCCTGGTTGTTTTCGACCCGTAACTAAGCAAAAGGATCAAGAGGATGAGGAATTTTTTTAAACAAATTGCCTCTCGGAAAAAAACAGATCTATTAATATTTAGATAATACTTAACTATATAATCTATTAAGATCTTGAAATTGGTACATTAAGCTTAATTAAATTAATAATTAATATATTTTTATAATACAATTTGACTCTTTCGCTTTATGGAAAAACATCCATATTCGTGTGTTGACAACATTTATATTTAAGCTGACAACATCTGTATTTAGTTGCCAGCATCCACCAACATTCGTATTCACGTTTCCGTATTCAT